ATTGCAGCTCAAATTTCACTGAAGGCAGTGTCGACTTGAGCCCCATCCTCACCAAAGAGGTGCTGGGTGTAAGAAGATGCCAGTTAAGGGCCACTGAAAGAAGGCAAAGTGATTGGTTAGGGGGTTACCAACAATCAAAAGACATATAGCAGTTAGGGGCCACCGACACAAAAAGGCAAGACAAGTCCTTCAACAGGGGTTTCCACACCAGCGAGCACAGAACCTGAGATTGTAGTGCAGCTACAACTCTCACCCAAGGCAGCTCAAGACTTCAGTTTTGTTTTACAGGTTTTTACAGGCAAACAGTTTTACCGAACAGGACATTCAAGAGAAGCCCTCAATTGAGGCACACGTTGAAGATGTGCTAAAGCCCTTCCCAGGGAAGGCAAACCAGGAATCCAGGACAAGATAGGATTTTAAGATGTGGGAATCCAGGGACATAAGGAACCCAGAGGATGTATCAGATCATGATACATCAGAACAAGAATTGGTCACTTTGGAAGAAGCACCACAATTTATGATTGAGGACACAATCACAGAAAAGTTAACAGACCTCTACAACAAGAAGTCTGAGGAAGTGGTTCATCTTCGACTTCAATTTTGTCTCAATCGAGCATATGAACCAACAGATCACCCAAGGCTAGAGCAGCTTGAAGGCAAAGTAGAAGGAATATGTCGAATCCTTCAAAGCAGGAAAGATTTCAATAAAGAAACTCTCAGGCATTTCGACAAAGCAACAAAACTTCCATCTGGAGAAGCAATCCAAATTGACTGAGAAGAAGGACATTTGGAGAAAGCCAGTGAATTACAGCCAATTAACCCACTTGGCACCAGACCAACAGCAGTTCCAATTGAGAGATCTATCTCAGACAGCACTGTTAGACTAGATTCTCCAGGAATCACAGCAGTCAAATGAGATCGACCACCTCACCTTCCTCAATTTATGACAGGAGGAACAATAATGACTGTTGCACAATACAATCCAGCCACTGGGCCACCGCCCCACCCAAAAGCATGTACAGATGCAGTATGGGCCAAATATCAGTCAAACATTGCAATATATGTGGCCTATAATACATCACAACCCAGACCACCAGCTACTAAGAAAAAGTGAATGGGAAAGATCAAGGAGTTTAGCGGAGACAAGCGGGAGTTTGCATCATTCCTATAAAGTGTTGAAAGATACCTTCATGCAAATGCAGGAGTCTACAATGATGACTTCAGCTAAATTGCCTTTGTACTCTCCCAGATTGACCCAGGATCTACAGCTGAACAATGGGCAGAATCCTGGGAAGCAGCCCAGATGGCATGAACAAATGATCTTGGAACCTACCAAGCATTCAAAACAATGCTCACAGAAAAATATGGTGGCATTGCAACCAAAGACCAAGCCTGGCAGGTCCTTCTTGAAGGAAAATACAAGCAGGACAAGCGAATGGTCGACGAGTATGTCAGATCACTTGACATCCTCTACCGATATGCTGAAATCACAGAGGACTACCCAAAGCTCATGCACTTCAAAAGAGGACTCAATGAGAAACTTGCAGAGAAGGTCTTCATTTTCACCAATCTGCTGGCAACATACAAAGATGTGTGCGATGCAGCCTGAAATGTTACAGACCTTCAGGACATCTACAGTGGAAAGACCAACATCTTCAAGTTCATCACAAGCTCTTCTTCAAGTGGAAGAAGGACAGAGCGAGATCCAAATGCCATGGATATTGACAGAATCTCAGAAGAAACCCATCAGAAATGTTGGGTGGGTGGACTCTGCTACGACTGTGAAAGATCAGGACATGTTGCAAGCAAATGCAAAAGTCCAGAATATGATCCGTTACAGAGACACGAAGGAAAGGCAACTTGACATGCCAAAACCAAGATGCCCCATTTCAGGATGAAGAAGTACTCCAAATTAAGCAGATCAGGAAAGACTTCCAAGCTGTCTAAATCTTACTCCAAGGGAAAGGAAAAGAGGTGACACAGGGTAAAAAGAGTTCAAAAAGATGATGATGACTCAGAATAAGAGTATGAGCAGTTGTCTTCAGAAGAATCTGAAAAAGATGAGATTTCCCAAAGCAAAAGTGAGACCTCTGAAGAAGAATCAGAGAAGGAAGAAATTGTTAACAGAATACAATGAACTCATCTCATAAAGTGCAAAACTGTCACAGCGATGCTGGACGAGAGATCAAAAGACTAAAAAAGGAAATTATTATGTGGAACATGTCACCCTGATCCCCCTGATCCCAAATGTGGCTAAAGAGCCTATCACTCACTAACTGGGTAGCAAGCATATGGAAAGGTGATAGAATTATAATGGAGCTTAGAAAGCTCAGTAGTCGACTGGGTAGTGGACGAGGAGAAACAATCTAAGGTTTCGTCCTCTACATGCTGGTCTTATATACATATACAGCGGGCTATCTTACCTAAGCTACCTATCTACGGGTATAAGCTAAGGGCCGTACATGAAATAATGAAATCTCCGGAAGTAGAACAATAAGTGGGAAGATCAATGGCTGCTGTGTGAGCATCATGCCTATCTTGATTTCCCTTTGTTCTCCGGTGTGAACATCATGCCTATCTGGGCTTCTGGCTAAACTAATAGGAAGCGGAAAGCTGATGCACAGCAATAGTTCTTGTTCCCTTTGTTCCCAAATGGGTGCCTCTATTGTATCCTGGAATAGACAGATCTGACCATATCATCTGCAGGTCTGGACCATAACATGTGGTGTGGACTATCATCTGATCTCTACGTGTCGCATCTGTGGCTGGGTGGCATGAGATATTGGTGAAGCACATGATCTGTGGCATGAGAAAAGTCACGTGTGGACTTTGTGGTGAGAATCTGTGACAAAAACAGTTTGACAAGCCACCAGAGATTCAGATGATTCGGATGAAGAGCCATCTGTTTAGTGATTCATTCCTGATGAAGAACTTGCAAGGATACAATGTCTTGACTCTGAAGAAAAAGAACTTCAGAAAAACATACGACATATTGAAGTCAAGGCACAAGAAGTTCGCAAGACAAACAAGCAAGTTCAAAACAGCAAAATGGCATTGGATTGGCTCACAAACTTAACCAAAATAGCTAAAATAAAAACATATATATCGTAAGAATGCCTATGATATGAGCTTTCAAATGGCACTTGGATGAAGTAAATCAGCCTAGTGATTGGTGAAATAAAAAATATTCTTTACAAAAGATGCATTGCAACAGTTTTGTGGCTGACAGTTTTAGATATAAAAATTCTCAACTTCAGTACTTTGTGTACCCTCCCTTTGCCCTCAACACAGCTCTAAGTCTGGCATACTGTTGATCAAGTTCTGACAGACAGAAGCCTCAATACCATTCCATTTCTTCTGCACCCTGTCCCAAAGTTCTGCAATTCCTCCAGGTGCATTTTCATATGCTGTCAGCCTTCTTTTGAGATGGTGCCAGAGGTGTTCTATGGGGTTGAGGTCTTGAGACTGTGCAGGCCATATCATAGTCTCAAACCCATGCTCCTCTAGCCACTTCCTGGCTTTCTTGCTGGTGTGCTTGAGGTCATTGTCTTGCTGAAATACCACATCCTCCACAGTTTTGCCCCATTCCTCTATGCTATTCTGAAGTTCATCCTCCAGAATAGAAACAAAACATAAAGGTCAGCATCCATCTTGCCATTGATCTTGCATGCATATCCAATCCCTTCCCAGCCCATACACCCCCACATCATGAGGCTTCCTCCCTCAAACTTGAGTGTCCCTTCTACCAGCCTATCACTGAGTCCCTCCCCTGGCTTCTTCCATGCCCATTTCCTCCCATCTGACCCTAACCTGTTGATTTTGGTCTCATCTGACCATATAACCCTCTTCCAATCCTCCACAGTCAGTGCTGATGGCTAACAGCAAAGTCCAGTCTTTCTCTCTTATGATGCTTAGAGAGAAGGGGATGTTTATGCTTTACTGCAGCCTTCAGACCAGTGCTTTTGAGCTTTCTACACATAGTCTCCACATGAAAGGGCTGGTTGACAGCATCTTGGAGAAGTTCAGTCACTTTGACAGCAGTATCTGCCTGTCCAGTGGTAAGAAGGTGAGTAGCATGGCAAATGATTCCAGGATTAAGCTTTGTAGGATGACCTCCACCAGATGTAGGCATGTTAGAATGATGCTCAGGGCAATTCTGAACACAGTGGAGTAATGGACTGCAGTAAGATGAGCAATCTGTCTGACAGAATGACCTTGATCAAGCAGGGAGAGAATATGGGCAGTCTGAGTAGCAGAAACCTTTTTCATGATGGTTGTGTTGAAGTTGAACAGTCTGTTTGGGGTTGATCAACTCATGTTGAAGTTCAACAAAGATCACATGATCAAAACTTGAAACCTTAAAGCAAACAAACTTCTGCAAGAGGGTACTTTTGTTTTCGGAGTTGTCAGCCACAAAACTGTTGCAATGCACTTTTTATAAAGGATGTCTCATATCTCACCAACCAGCAGGCCAATTTACTTTATTCAAATGCCATTTGAAAGCTCCTATCATAGGCTTTCTAATAATATGTATGTTTGCATTTTTGCTATTTTATTTCTTGAGATATAAGCCAAACAATGCAACTGTTGCAAACATTGCAACAGTTTTGTGGCTCACTGTATAAGTTGGGACTGGATGCACTTTGCGATGAAGTGGCTTGTAGTGTTTTCCTGCTGAAGTGAATACTGTGTAAGAAGAAAATGCTTGAAAAGTCCAAGCAGAGTCAAAAGGCACTGATGAAACCACAGAAGCGAAGCGTGTCTGCTGAAGAAGATGGTCAAACGAAGTCGGCGGCTGAAGCTGTGATAAGGAAATAATATCATCGTTCATTTCTGGGAAAGTAACTTCTAATAATGAGAGAAGAGCATGGCCAATGCTTGAAATGTCATCTCCCCCTCCAGCCGCTGGAGGGGTAGACTTAGAGGTCTTGTTGGCTCAGTCAGAGGGTGTCCACACCGTCTGTCTCACTGCTGGATGCCATGATGAGCTGGTCTGAGTTTCATGAGTTATCGACACTGATAAGACAGATCCTGAGGCATTTGCTGCCATGATCTCCTGAGGGGTAAGTGAGAAGGTCAGCTGAAACTCCGCGGGTGTAGTCGATCTGTGTAGAGTACCACTGGAGCCACGGTTGATCGAGGATACCGTCATGATTACTGAACTCCCACGTGTCAACAAAGAAGTGATGGTGAAACTGCCAGCCTCCAATCTTGACTGGAGTGTCCCTGCAACACCTGAGCAAAGGAACTGAATCTTCGCTGATTCCTTTGAGGGACCAGCGAGCACCGTCAGAATCGATTTCAATGCCCGCTTGTTCATATACCCAGCTCATAACAAGATTGAGCTCTGAGCTGCTGTCAACAAGAAAGGTAATGTCCTCATAGCTGAACTTCTCGTGCACAACTCCACTTGCGATGTCATAGAAGCATTTTGACCCAAGAGATGCTGCATTCGCAAATCGATGGAGGATTTACATAGCCTCCACTAGGTCTGCACAGATTAGATAGGCCACACCTGCCAAATCTCCACCTTCATCTGCTTCTGTGACATCTAGTAGCAGGCTGGAAGCACACCCAGTGACCTGCTGATGATCTGGGCTTTCAGGAGGAGATGTCAGGCTAATCAGCTCACCATTGTCAGTTTTGGCTGAGAACTCCTGATGCACCTTGGTCATGGAGGTGATGCGCTTCTGTAGCTCCAGTGAGGCCCCTAGGATAGCCCAAATTGGCAATGAGATCTCTGAATTCAATATGTGTGCTTGAACCTCATCGATCGAGACACTGTCTTGCAGCTGCAATGTGAATCTGTACCATGCCTCACTTCTGTCACCGTACTTGTCTTTGCCATCTCCCCAATGCTGCTCTTCTGCTTTCTTCCTCTCTCACTCTTTCCAACCCTCCTCTGTGTTGCTAGCATGCATCTGTGAGCCTTTCTCATGCCCCGATGAATCCCCATCTTCTATTCGTGTGAATGCTGTCTTGTCCGGTGGTGGCTGTATCTTGACAATGGATGGTCTCCCACTTCTGCAGCCTTTTGCATGCTTGACATCCCCTCCCCACAGTCCACTGGCCTTCTCTTCTGACTCTGTCTCCACAGAAGGCTTCGCCTTTGACCTCATGACAGCAGGAAAAGAATAGACCTGGTCTGTCGCTACCACAAAGACATTTCCTTGAATCACCTCTTGGGAATCCCATAACAATCCAACTCCCTGGACATCTTTCATTGTCTGGTGCAGTGGAAGGTCTCTATACCAATCCCCTGACCTTGCCTTGCTCTCTGCGATCAAAAGAGCCACAATTCCACCCTTCCCTGGAAACCTCAGAAGAAGGGTCCCATCGCAGCGCACCAATCTCCCATTGGATGCATACTTTATAATGTTTTCCAAGACCAGTCTCTCAGTCATAGGGCAATTGCACATACCAAATGGATGGTCAAGGTCTATGCCTTGAGTCTTTCCACACATGTAGCAGCTCTTCGACATATCCCCCTCTGGCTGAGGATACACTGATGAGCACACATGATCAGGTATGGGAGTCTGCGATCTTGGTGTGTTACTGGCTAATTGTGCAGCCTCCAACCTGAGGCTAAGCTGCCTCACCTCTGCCAGCAGCTTTTACACTTGAGACAGGTCTGCCTCCATATCTGTCATCACTTTCTTCATCTTCTTTGAAGATGACTTCCCTTTCCCTTTTTGCCACTTCTCTCATTCATCCTCTGAGTTGTCTGACTCCGAACTCGAAGATGAAGATGAATCACTTATATCATCCTCACTGTCCCCTTCTTCACTATCCAAGAAAGAACTGGAGCTATAGTCCATGTTCTCTTCACTGAATCGCTTTTGCGCCTCCACAATCACAATAGCCATTTTGGGTGGGTCTGTCTGTGTAAGCAGCTTTCCAGCAGCCTTTTCAACAGGCACCTTTATCTCACTCCTCAGATACTTTGATAGACCCTTGTAGAATAAGATATCCTGCTCCTCCTTTGTAATCTGCTTCTGATGCACAAGGTTCCTGGCTTTCACCTTGAATCCTCATATATATGTATTTGTCCAGAGTGTGGTGGCTCTCAATCTTTCACTTTCTTTCAGAAAATCTATGCAAGCATGAGGCTGAGCCATGATCTCTTTTATCTGAAGATGAATAGTAGAAACACAGTCACTCCTTCACCTTCTTCCAGTCTGTGGCCATGGAGTCAAACTCCAGCTTATATTTCATTCCCTTCCGCACATGCTCTGAACAATACTGGAGCACCATTGAAGGTAACTCCTCATCCTTTATCCCAGCCATCTTGGCTCTCACCTCAAAAGATGACAGGAACTCGCCAAGATGCTTGCCCGTGAAATGCGGTGTGTCTTTCACTCATGGCAGGGGCATCAGAACTTGGACAAATGATGAAGACATGTTTGGAACTATTTGAGACTGCTTACCCAATGCTAATTTTGCCATTGCTCAGGATGATGCTGACGCCACTCTCGGCTGCTCTGGCAATGGGGATAAAGATATCTGATGATCAGCTGAACTTGCTCTGGGTCCCAAGATCATAGAATGGAGCTGATGTGAGGATGGTGGGACTAAGTGATAAGTCCTCGATGTCTGTTCCGGTGCCATGATGACAGCTGCCTAGAATCTGATCATTTTCACTTTTCCAGTGAGATTATGTCGAGCAGAGATCCTGCGAAACCCCCTGTGTCAGTCACCAGTTGAAGTAGAGTTAAGTAGCAGAAGCTAGAACTCTTATGAGAGGTTCTGAGCAGGTCGTCGACTACAGAGAATTGTATATATAGTTTTTCATTTTTGAGTAGTGCCGTCAAGTTTCTGAGCTAACCCAGTAGAATTAAATAGTCACCAGTTATGAGTACGTGAAGGTTCACAATATATCTGAGTCCATGAGAGATGAGACTTGTGCACTACAGAGACTTCTCAGAGGGGGAGAAAAACTGCTCCATTCATAGGCGGGAGTGCACCCTTTATACATGCTGATTCTAAAGAACCTTACATGACATGAGGTGAGACGTGACAGAAGTACACGGTTGCATGACGTGGTTATTGATGGAATTGGAGTGCTACATGCCAAATATGGTTAAAGTAATGAAAAAGTTGGGGAGCCATCGTTCTGGGCATACAGACATCTTCCCCAAACCATTCTAGCATATGGGGTCAAAGTGCATTGAATCGGTGAGCTCAGTCATCACAGGAGATCATATTTTTGAATCGCAGCCTGCTGCCCTTAAGCATGTGATCATCACCGTGAGCCTCACTTTCACCTTTGCATCCTCACCCGCATGCCAGTCTGGTTTTGTGGATAACACTGGTAGAGTTGAATGTAAAGTAGTAAGCTTTAGTCCAAATGAAACAAGTCTGAAGTGAAAAACTAATGATTATACAGCACCATCACGAATCTCTCCTACACTGTCAAAAAGTCATGTTAGAGGATGAACTGGTGGAATCAATATAATGAACACACCTTGCTCACTGAAAGGGCAGCAGCCTGCTCAGGTGAGATTATCTCTTCGCACCACGATAACTGCGATGGTTGGACAAAAGGGTTGAGATGAGCCTGGGCCTTCTGGCAAAATCAAGTATACCATGTTTGCGACACAGAGTCAGAAAAGGAGTGAAGATCATGCTAATGAGGGGAGAGTATTAGACAGCTGTGAATGGAAAGGAGCAGCCACTTACCAGTGCAGAAAGGAACTTGTGTACAAGAAACTCGAAATCAGTGGATGGATCAAGAGGCTCTGCCTCATGCAATGCCTCCCACACAGAGTATACTATGCCCATGGCAGCATCTTTTAGGTCCATTGCCTATGCATAAAGAATAGAGGTTAGTGATAGTGACCAACGAAGGGCTTAGGAGAACAGTGCATCTTTCATGGAGAAGCAGCGGGAGTTGCAGGATGCTGAGAGGAAGGGGGGGTGGCAGGGTCACCCATCATTGAGCTGAGAGAATGAGGAAGAGGGAGAGGTAAGTTAGGCATCATCAGAGGCTGAAGAAAATTTTAAACTGGTTAGGCTCGGCACATGAATGTGTCATTAAAACCTGGCAGTATCATCCTCTACCATGTGGCAGAGCCTGTTGGCTTTCTCAGGAGGCCAGTTCAAATGACTCGGGCAAAACTTCTGGTGCAGGACCGAAAGCAAGATAACTCCGATTGAGGCTACCAAAACAATGGATCTACAGCATGAGAGCTGAGATGAACACAGTTGAACTACTATACACAAGGAAATGGAGTACGCAAAGGACAAGTCAAGATGTTCTAGGCTATGCAGTGTTCCCCTCTGGCCCAATGAAGGCCTGAATGAACCTAAGACACTCACTAATGTAAATCACCTCAACCACCAGTCGCACACACTCCTGCATATAGATTTGCACCAACAGAGCATTGGGCACAGTTAAGCTGCAGACCTCACTAAGGATCCACTCAGTCTCTGCAAGAGATTTGGCAGCTGCAGTCAGAACATATGAAGAGTCAGCCAGGAAGGGCTTGTGACTAAGAAAGTGGGAAGCTTACAAGCAGGAGCTGAATGAATGAACATTTGAAGTGTGACACTCAGCAGCAGACACAGGAGTGAGCATTGCAATTGGAGGGCATAATTATGCAGTCCTCGTCAACCAAGCACTTTGAGCACTGCCAATCACCAAGTAAGCAACAAGCCCATATATGAAAAGAGAATTGCACACACCTTTGTATATGGCCATGGCTTTCCGAAGCTCAAGAGCATGACCTGGACATGCTTCAAAAGAGCGTGAATGGCAATATAATATTCACACAGCATATCTGACTCAGAAGTCTTGAGGGTAACCACGGATGATGCCGTACTCACAATGGATGCTGAATGCAACAGTGCCTTTGAAGGTCCCACAACCACTTCTGATTCACACTTGATTGTGCCCTGCAGAATTTCCGCAATCATGACAGAGGCAGCAGAGGGAGGAGGAAAATGCTTTAGGTCATGTTTGGCCCACTGGTTCTCAATCGGACAGGTCCACTCAAGGAATGCATGGTTGTGCTGATCAACAAAGAGATCACCCTTGACATAGGCCATCAAGAAGTGATTACAAGCACAGGCATGACCTTCAGGAAGCTTGTCAACATCACCATGATTGGCAGATGCAACAATCTCCTGCATAATCTTGGTCATTGCAGCAGGAGTGCAAACTCAGTCAGCCATCACATGAACATCGGCATAACCAACCAGGGAAGAAGGAATGACTGCAGGGAGCCAGTTGTAGTCAAGGCTCGCATTCAACATAAGCCAGTCATATATCAAGTTAACCTCATGAAGGAGCGACGAGGTGTGTTTCAGATAATCATGAGTCAGCTGGGACTGTGAGCCACAGCATGAAACACCATATGATAGATTACAATGCATGGTACTCACTTCATAAGCAGAAAAAGACATAGCCCAGCTCTGCCAGACCACCTCAGGGGTCTCAGAAGCAGGTGAAGTGCCAATGAGGTTATCCAGTCACTGAAGCAGCAGAATGCTAGGACCGTCATCAGGATACACATTGCGAGCATGAGCAGAGAGGCTGAAGACACTGTCAATATGGGACATAGCGACAAGAGGCTAAGGAATCAGAAGCAGAGTCATCCAATCTAAAATATGGGTGCACAATGGACCAGGCATGGTTCAGATCCTAGAACAAGGGAGGTGATACTCACTGAGATATTCTGTGATTAGAAAATGCCAGAAAAAGTGTCTGCCTATCACACTATCGGATAGCAAGTTGCCATGATCTGGGAGCATCAAAGTCAGAGCTGGAACAGTCCAGAGTGAGCGAAGAAGGCTTTGCTGACTGCCTGGGAGTGCAGAACCACGTGAAGGACTCAGAAGGAGGACATGAGGTGCAGAAATGATGAGCAGGCTGTTGGGAAGCCTGGCCCTTTATGAGATGCAGCACGAGAGCAGAAACTGATGACTTAGGCAACTGGGACATGAGCAAGTGTGCTAATTGAGCAGGACACTGATCTGCAGACTGACGGACCCTGGCAGGGCTGGGCTTCCCATTCCCTGACTGCAAAGTATGAAGAAGGAGCAGGAGCGAACGATGCAACATGTTTTATTGGATCAGAAATTCATTTTATGATCAGAAACACATTTCAATGACCTAGCTGGCCCATTTCTGACCCACTATATAATCTATCATGTACATAAAACCTATAACAGAGTTTTCCCCACCAAGCAGCACTCAGTTCTCATCTCATCTATGCTAGGACATCGTGCCCAACTATGTCTACGCCACATGTGATCATGTTCTACATCTCTGGGATTCTTGACACTGAGAGCGGCAGCACTCTCAGTAGTAGCCTCTAGCTTGACTTGGGTTTCAGCTACATTATTGTGTTCTCATATCCCACACTATCGCATTTCGCTCTCACACCACCTATCATGAGTTCTGAACCAGGTTTCCATCCCCATCAGACCCTGTAGCCTCGCTAGTGCCCAGACCTGGTCCAAAGTGCTAGGGAGTACTTGCTAGATGCCCAGAAGTTCATCGTTGGTGCTCGATTCAGTTAGAAGCACTCAGGGCTTCATCATCGATGCTTGAGCTAGCTCAGAGGCAATTAAAGTTTCATCATCAGTGCTTGAGCCAGCTCAGAGACAATTAGAGCCTCATCATCAGTGCTTCACCAGCACTTTCCAGATATAGCAAGTCTTTATGCCACTGCCCAGGCCTTCAGCCACCACAGTTTGTGAGTACTAGAGTTGCCAATCGCATTCTACACACACACACACCCCACATTCCAGCTTTCAACTGTTTTCCAGTCAGAGGCATCCCTCTAGTTGAACCCATCACTCACCGATCCAGTTTGGCAAATCGATCCATTTCAAGCAACACAGCTGAATGACTCACAGCTGCCCATCACTGTGTTATCAGCTGAAGTTTCCTGTGACTGTAGCCTGAAGGGACCACAGATGGAGTGCCCCAGTTTGCCTTTCAAGTAGGGTTTGGTTAGGAGTGCTGCTCATGGCCAGGACATGGTTAAGCATATCACTGCATCTGAGATGAAGCAGGGGGGACCCAGCATGCAGGCATGGGTCAAGATCCAGCTGAAACCATTGGGGCAGGTCAGGCAAGGTGTTCAATGAGCAGATGGGGTGTCTCCAGAATGAGGACAAGAGAATTCTGTGGTATGGGATGACCACTGGGGTGAGTTCTCAGGAACTGCAGTGAGCGGAGTGTAACATGGGTGAATGGCGATTAAGGGATTCACAATGAGACATGATGGAATGGTCCACAGCGACAGGCCCTTTAAGAGATTCAAAATGAGATGAGTGAGATCAGCTAATGAGTTACAGGGCCAAGTGTGGTCCAATATGTAACTGGGTCTTGAGTGAGTGGGTCCCAAGAATGCAGTATAAAAGGGTAGCATAGTTAGGTAGGTAAGAAGAGCTCGAATGGTGTATCTACAAGCTAAAGTATGTGAAGAGGCTTGCGCAGTGGTGCACAGAGACAGTGGTCTCCTCTCCTCCACAACCTACCACTTCTACTTCACAAACTAATCAAGTTCTTTGCTTTCACTGTCGAACTCACTTGACTGACCACTGGGACATTGCCACTGAGACAGTACATCCACCTCCTGAGATTCCTGTTCTCTGTCCGGAAGTCATTAGACTCACTCTGGAATCATTCTATCACACGTATCTCACATACATCACCCCAGCTCGTACACTCTATGTGGCTGCTGGCCTTTTGACTGCCTTGTCTGTTCACCTCTTCACCATATTTTATATTTGGCTCTTGCATCGCCTCTAGATGCAGACCTTCCCTGCACTGTTCCCCCTTCATCCCACTTGGTTGTTTGCTGTCATTTCACAGCTAGCTGAGTACTTGCAATCACACTGTCTCTATTCACCTTGGGCTGCAGTTGCAGAGACTTCAGCTGATAATGCTTTGAGGGGTGGCTGCGAGTCATTCGGTGTTGTGCTTGAAATGGAGCGGTGAGTGGTGATTGAGACTAGGGCAGTATCCCTGACTCTGGATAAGTTGAGAGATGGGTGGATCATGTGTATGGATTTAGTAGAGTGCGACTCGAATGAGCAGGCATAGAGGTGTGAGGGTCAAGTGGTGATGTGGGTCTTTGCCCATCTAAGCTAGTGTCTTTGAGCACTATAGGCAGCTCTCCCCAGCACTACGGACAAGGTTTGGGCACTCCCTAGATCCCCAGAGCATCTATACTATGCTTCCCAGTGCTACAGATGAGGTCTAGGTGCTTGCTGAAGCTATGGAGTCTGATAGAGATGAGAATCTGAGTTGTTGGAGCTCATGACTGATGGCATGACTTATCTGGGTGCTACTCGAGTCGTGTTGTGGGCCACTTAAAGAGAGTGCTGCCCTAGCTGGTGTCAAGAGCTAACAAAGCATCAGTTTCAAGCATAGATGGGTAGAACTGAATAGGGCACTCCACCCTATTGTGAGGACAATGTAGAACTGAGAACTGAAGGGTGAACACTTTGTTATTTTCGTGCTATGTACACAAGCCATTATATAGGTGTAGAATAACATTTTCTAGTGTAGCAGAAGACATTTCCGATTCTCTGAAACAGTCCTTAGATGTTCCCCACCTCCTTCTCCTCATCACTTGCAGTTGGAAAACTGGAAGGTATGGGCTCTCAATGGTCTGGTGGTCTGCTGCCCTGTGAATCTCTTGCTTAGAGTGCATTCTCATTTTCATTCTATCAAACTCCTTCTGCTCCACCCTTATTCTTTGTTCTTGTAATCAGTGGTGCTAGCATGCAGGTCCTGGCTCATTTCCGAGCCTCATGTGTGACCCTTCTTGATATTTTACTGCTTCCATGAGTTCTCCAAAGTTGGAGGTCCTTGTGCTGTTCTGCCTGGAGTATTCTGCTTGACAGATATGCATTATTGAGTTGCATGGTCTTCAGCTGCTCTTCCAGATGGGCTTCTAAATGCAGAGCTTTTCAGTGAATACCAGTGCATATTGTTTAAGCCCGGTGTGTGCTCATGTCCTGGCACAAGTAAAGGATGTTATGATGTCAAACTGGTAAGATGCTCAGGGCATTTCTATTTGAGGAAGTACTGTGCTGATAGAGAGCAGTTGCAGAGATAATCATGAACAACAGGGCACCATTTATTGCACCCCTGAAACACCTTCACAAACAATATGAGATCATCCATATTCAGATCTCAGTGTACAACTCACAAGCCAATGATATCATGAAACAGCAGCACTTTGATGTTCAGAAAGTGGCTATGAAGGTCTATGATGAAGGGAACACAATGGACTGGCCGAAGGTCATACATGCTGTTTTCTGAGTGAAATAGGTGTCTATTCAAAAGAGTACTGGGCAGTCTCTGCACTTCATGGTACATGGGGTAAAACCAGTATTTCTGTTCAATCTCACAGAAGCTATGAACCTCTCTCTGATGACCAATGAGCCAATATTTGACAGAGCAGCTCATCATGATTTATGCTCGACAACTACTCAAGCAGCACGAGGATCTGCAGGAAGTTCAGCAACAGGTTCAGGCCATGCAGTCCAAGTCAATCAAGCAGTTTGAGAAAGCTTTCAAGAACATGGTCCATGAGTTTAAATTTATGGTGGGTGACCTGGTGTTGGTACAGAACTCGCAGTTAGAAATGGATCATAATTGAAAGTCAAAACTGCACTATGTCAGGCTGATGGTCATGGTCTGATTCAATACAGAGAGGTTATACATTTTGACTGAGCTGGATGGTTCTATTTCAAAGCACCACTACATGGCTTTTAGAGTAATTCCTTACAGATCCTGGATGAATGCCCAAGTATCACTACAGGATGTGCTACATCAGGACCTGGGTGAGATGCAAGAAGACTTGGATGCAATTGAGTGAGAATGGGAAGCAGAGAAACCACCTGAAATTGAAGAAGTCCTGCTCAAGGAGGATTAGGCAGTCTCTCAAAGGGTCTGCACAAGGAGGCTGTAGTCGAGTTTTTCAAGCCATGTCCAATGCAGATGTGATGAGGAGTAGAAATTGGGGCTGTTCACAAGGCCAGAGAGCTCATCTTGGAGATGCTCATGTTGTTTGAGAGATTCAGCAAAGGCATGAAAGAGGCAGGCAAGAGTGAAGCTGAATTTGGTGTTTGGAAGAGACACCATCTGGAGGTCATGTATCAGGGTGAGTAAGGCAACATGGTCATGACAGATGAAGTTGTGGAGTTCAGCCTTCAAGTCAATGGCCTCCTCCTCCACAGCATCATGGATCGAAGTCTGGAGATTCTGAGTCAAGCTGTCTTTAATAGTTATACAGATGTGATCAAAAATGCATTTGTACCTGGCCTCTCACTGGGTGAAACAATCAATAATTTGAGATGATAAATGATAAAAATATTGAAAAAAAGTTCAAATCTTTTAAGCATCTTCACTGTCAATTTTTGATAAAAGTATATAAAATATTTTTAACATCTTTTGTTGAAAAAGATGATGAAAAGATTGAAAGGAGATTGCATAAAATATTAATAATTATTTCTTTGATCATTTTACAATCTTTCATATAAAACTATGATGAAAAGTTTCAAAAACAAATTCCCCTTTTTTTGATCAAAGATGATAAAAATATTGTGACTATGTCACACTCTTATTTTTATATACTAAGCTAATACTAAGATCTGGAGGTAAATACTCAGATTTATATATTAGCGCTGCACTAGTACTATAGTCATAAGAGTAATACTAACATTTCAATGTTAGCAGTATGCTAATACTAAGATTTAAATGCTAGTACTATGCTAGTATTAAGGTCTGAAGATTAGAAATAAGCTAGTACTAAGGTCTGCAGATTAGTACTAAGGTTTGAAGGTTAGTACTATGCTAGTACTAAGGTCTGGAGGTCAGTACTAAGGTCTAAATGCTAGTACTAGCATAGTACTAGCATGGTATTGATCTCTAAATGTTAGCACTAGCTTAGTACTAGCATTTAAAATTTAGTATTAGCATACTGCTAATATTAGAATCTTAGTCTTACTCTTCTGACTATAGCACTAGTATAATGTTAACACATAAACCTGAGTATTAACCTCCACATCTTAGTACTAGCTTAGAAAACAAGGGCGTGACACAGTCAAAATATTTTCATCATCTTTGATAAAAAAAAGTGAAAAAAGATTTTGAAACTTTTCATCATAGTTTTGTATGAAAGATTGTAAAATGATCGAAGAAATAATTATTAATATTTCATGCAATCTCCTTGCAATCTTTTCATCATCTTTCACAATAAAAAATGTTAAAAATATTTTAAATACTTTTATCACAAATTGACAGTAAAGATGCTTAAAAGATTTGAACTTTTTCTTTAATATTTTTATCCTCTTTCACCTTAAATTATTGATTGCTTCACCCAGTGTCCAGACTATTAAACATTGCAACCAAGACATCCTCCATGATGGAAATTTTCATGTAACTGATTATACTTACGGTGTGATCTTGGCTGGTTGAAATGATTGTCATCATCATCATGAGTCATGTGAGAGGTGGACACTACAGGTGTAATGAAAACTCACAAGGCTTGATTGACTGATATCAGAATCATCATCATTCTCCACTCTGAGTATCCCTTTCTCCCTCTCTCATTCCATTTATAGAAGCACAACCTCAAGTCTGAGATTGAGAGCACTGAGGTCTGATGACCCACCATCATCTTGAGTTGCACGAGAGGTGGACGCTACAGACTCAGTGTAATTGCACCTCATTTGGCTAGACATGAGACTGGTCTCTGGCTTAGCAGTGCCACTATGAGGTTGTCTCAAATGAGAAGAAGACAAGTCATCCTCACCTATCTCCCTGATTGCACCCTCGATGATCAGGACCCAACTTACAGCTCACCATGAATCAGGAAAGATGCAAAATAAGGTAACGAAAAGCATGAAAGATATAGCACACAATGTCTGCACTAGCCAGAAAGGCTCAGTAGTAAGAGGTCACTCCAGGGAGAAACAACTGCAAATGATGCTGATGCATGGCTTTACAAATTCATATCCAGCAATGACGGGGTGCTGAATCTCAACCCAGGGAGGGTTGAAAAATGCAGGAATCAGGATTAAGAGACAAGTTTGATCATACACGAGTTAAGAAAAGTGGAGAACAAGGCACCACGGTCACATGCAGTGATGGCTATGGAGGGTGTGACTTCACTGTGACTGAAATTTCTTTCTGCCCCTTTCCTCTACACCACTGACACTAGAGGAGGCTTGCTGCCTGCTCTAGCTCAGGACCTTTCATGCTCAATTCCAATTCCTGCATTTTTCAACCCTCCCTGGGTTGAGATTCAGCACCCCGTCATTGCTGGATATGAATTTGTAAAGCCATGCATCAGCATCATTTGCAGTTGTTTCTCCCTGGAGTGACCTCTTACTACTGAGCCTTTCTGGCTAGTGCAGACATTGTGTGCTGTATCTTTCATGCTTTTCGTTACCTTATTTTGCATCTTTCCTGATTCATGGTGAGCTGTAAGTTGGGTCCTGATCATCGAGGGTGCAATCTGGGAGATAGGTGAGGATGACTTGTCTTCTTCTCATTTGAGACAACCTCATAGTGGCACTGCTAAGCCAGAGACCAGTCTCATGTCTAGCCAGATGAGGTGCAATTACACTGAGTCTGTAGCGTCCACCTCTCGTGCAACTCAAGATGATGGTGGGTCATCAGACCTCAGTGCTCTCAATCTCAGACTTGAGGTTGTGCTTCCATAAATGGAATGAGAGAGGGAGGAAGGGATATTCAGAGTGGAGAATGATGATGATTCTGATATCAGTCAATCAAGCCTTGTGAGTTTTCTCTTCATCACTTCTTTCGCTGACTTTTCTACTTGTAAACCACACAGTGCTGATGCTAGAGAAGGCTTGCTGCCTGCTCTAGTGATGAGTACACCTCCCTGGTGTACCCTTCTCAGAAACCTCCACACTCACACCCTCCCACATTGCACCTCATTGATGTGTGCTATGCCATGTCTTCCTGACACCAGAATGTTGAGGAGGTTACATGGGCATGGTTGGTCTTATGGTTCTGCTGCTCAGGCATTCTCAATCTTTCGACTCGAGGCCATTTGCCTCATGAGGCATTTATGACTGTCACGCATCTGGTTTAATACCTTCTTTTTGCTCTAGTCAACAGGTTTGTAGTTGCAGGTATGATGGCACAAAGAGAGGACAAGCAAAAGAATCAGGACTTTTCAGTCTTCTAAATCTGCAATCTGCTACATGCCATCTCCTGTGTTCATCAATGCCATACAATTCACCATCAAAGTTGTGTTATTCTCACTGTCTGCTTCAGCACTCAGTTCAGGAACTCTCAAATTATTAGTAATTGTATTCAAATGAACATAGTGCTATCAATGTTTGATGATGATTTCCAGAATAGTTCTCTGCCACCCAAGTAGAGCCAGATGTCAGAGAGAGATGTACATCTCTCTCGTAACATTTTCAATTCCTCACTTCAGTTGACAGCGGCATCCTCCCACATTTGTAGCAAGAATAGGAGGAGAAATTGCTGAAGCCAAGGCCCAATGGCAAAGGTGACTCTCAATTGTACTTAATTATCTGCATTGTCTGACTAAGACGTAGAGAGGAGCTCACCAGGAACAATTGTGCTAAATGCATCACTATTTCTGGGTCATGAGGCTTGCTGAAGGGCAATGCACTTGACTTGAATCAAAGCAGCATCGATCACGTGTAGGTGATAGTCACTGAAGGGTGAAATGTCACTCTCAGCTGTAAAGTATGGGGGGAGAGTGCAATCCAAATGCCAGAGCACTTTGTGGGCTATAACATTCTCCATCACTTTCACCACATTGCACACATACTTTGCTGGACTATTGTCACTGTCATCCAATAGAATGATCAGTTTCTCCAATGCTGAAAGTGGATGTTGATTATTGCTCAAGAGACAAATAAGATAAGTGAGGGGACCTCTGAGAGTCTTCAAGTGTAGCAGAGAAGGGGAGGGCAATATCAGCATGCAGCATCTGCTGCAGTGAGAATGGTACCCTACATGGAGTTTGTGCAGGCCCCAATGATGTTGCAGGAAGTGATCAAGAGCAAGTTGTGTGAGCTTCCCCTCAATCTGCAGAATTTGAAGGGTGGGCACATTAATTTGTTCGAGGATCTGGGACCAGGACAGGGTACACGAGGGAGCTGAGAGACAGATTGGGAATTAGGATAAGTTAGATAAGACAGAGGATGAGGATGAGGATGAGTTAGATGTGGTAAAGGAATAAGGCAGAGGTGGAGAAAGATAAAGATGGGGCAGAGGCAGAGCAAGATAATGATTAAGAAGGAAATGGAGAACAATGATGACAAGACAGAGAAGGAGAAGAATGAGAATGAGGCAGAGGGGAATGCTACTATCGCTGAAAAGGTAGCACTCTCAACACATGATCCTCTCTCATTCCTTATGTGGCTGAACTGTCCTGGCTACTGAAGGTTAGACGAAACTACTACAGACAATCACAATCGTGACTCTGGCTCTTCTTGATCACCCTCTGACCTCGCTGTTGAGGAAGTGAGGATGCCAAGAGAAGCCCATTGAGCATTTAAGTCTTACTCCTCATCACATTCTGGGAAATTACAGTAGTACATGGGAAACAATTAATAACAATAAATGTATACGTTAAAGTAGTAATAATTTTAATGCAGAAAATTCTGAATAGATATGCGTGAGAGAACAAGTGCAGGTTTACGGAGCATGATGCTCGATGTCGAAGGTGTGATTTCACCATTGCACCAGTGCAATTGATTGAATTTGTCTGGCTGTTTCCTTGTTCTCCTGAATTCTCCCATTCTGAGCTGATTGATTTCTGGTTCATCTTTGTCACCATTTTGCCACATGCATCCCTGATCCACTCCTTAAATGACATATATGGACTACACTCCGGTGCTCAAGCACTTACCAGTACCAGAGTCAGCCATCCTCGCACTGGACATTGTCAGCTGTATTTAACTGTGGAATAATCATCTGTGCATCGCCAGTTACTTGAGACTGGCACTCGTTGTCACCTTACACAATTAGTTTCATTTTTGCAGTGCCGAGTATTATTGAATGAAATAGAAAGTTAGGGGTCGAAAGGTGTGAAGTGAGTCATTACTACATCGACTAAATTGAATTTCACATTTATATTGGGTGGCATACAAGTACATATTATGCCATGGCATTATTATTATGTGGCTCTCCACATCCTGCAGGAGAATTAGGTTGGACTCTGAATTTGGGTGTCGCCCCCAGTTAGGGTCACTGCATAGCAGCACATAGTGCCACAATATATTTTATTGAATAATTAGGTACTGAAGAAACACACATACTATCCAGTAGTACGCTACATTGGAGACAATATGGTTGTCCATATGAGACATATTCACTGGCAAATATTTGTGGACTACGATATGAGATTGTTAAACACCTGAATTGTATCAATTGATTATTATGCACATTTCGCATGAGATGAAGATAAGGGCTCACAATTGATTGTTATCGTATACTTAATTATACCATCTCAGTGATGTATTTAAGGCACAACCGCGGCAAACAGCACACGATGTAAGTGCTGCGCTCTCCTGCGACAGACATCCAATGGTAACAACATTGTGGTACAGTCTGACCAGATTCAAGTGCACAAGTTTCTGCAATGATCATCTACTAGCAATATTCTGGCTAAGAAGTGCGGCATATGCTTTCACTGATATGTGCCGTGCCTTGCCATGGTTACCATAGGATGTCTGTGGAGAGCGCAGCACTTACATCATGTGGTGTTTGCTGCGGTTGTGCCTTAAATACATCACTGAGATGGTATAATTAAGTATATGATAATAATCAATTGTGAGCCCTTATCTTCATCTCATGCGGAATGTGCATAATAAACAATTGATACAATTCAGATGTCTAACAATCTCATATCAAAGTCTACAAATATTTGCCAGTGAATATGTCTCATATGGATGACCATATTGTCGCCAATGTAGCGTACTACTGGATAGTATGTGTGTTTCTTCAGTACTAATTATTCAATAAATGTATTTTTTATATGGCAACCCTTACCCTCACCTTCAGCAATTGAATTCAAGAATTCCCTATAATGGTATTGAGGCTTCTGTTTGTTAGAACTTAATCAACAGTATGCCAGACAGGGTTGGAGCAGCATTGAGGGCAAAGGGAGAGTATACAAAGTACTGAAGTTAGACATTTTTGTTTTCAGAATTGTCAGCCACAAAACTGTTGCAATGCTTTTTTTGTAAAGAACTTTTCATATCTTCCCAACCATCAAGCCAATTTACTTTATCCAAGTGGCATTTGAAAGCTCATATCATAGGCTTTCAAATGACATATAAGTTTGCATATCTGGCTATTTTGGTTCCTGAGATATAAGCCAAATAATGTGACCATTACAAACATTGCAACAGTTTTGTGGCTCACTGTAAGTACAACAATTAGGTGAACAGGTCTAAGGGAAAGCATGTCCATGGATGCACCAGAAGAAACCTCTGGGGCATCCAGCATACTCGACACAAATATATATACTACAGCTGTCAGTCCTCTAAAGGGAAGTGAGCGTTGGGGAGCTAAGCATCAAGTTGAGAAAGCATCTACTAAAGTAGGGAATATTGATACCATGTAAGGAGAAAGTGGCCGATAGCCCAACACTGAAGGTGGCCCTCCAATCATGGATTGCAACAACAGTGCCAATCTGGAACTGAAGCACATGCAGCGCAATGTAAGACTAAATCACAAGCACAACAAATGCTGCACACCATGTAATGTACGAGGAAGACAGCCTGCACCCAACGCATGCACTCACTTTGCATCAGACTCCGTTCCATACATATCAAACAAATGGTTAGTATGCATTGTTCAGTGATCATGCATGACAACTGAACAAGATTGCTCATCAATGCATGCACATGGGCCCCTTCCACCTCGACTCGCCTGATGGCAGCTCCTGTCAGATCCGGTTACGGATTCTGCTTGATGAGCTCCCATTTAGGGGAACCGTTCGGATGCGGGACCCCACGAGAAGGTTGGCGTGAACATCATGCAATGTTTGCGGTGTCACTCGGATGTCATATTGCAGCATTGATCCATTGTCTCACGATACGATCATACACACCTACACTATTTGAGCCTCGGAGGTTCTCGATGAGATCATCTCCATCCTATCCGAGCCCATCTATCACTCGCGAACAGCCTACTCGGCTCACTTCACACCCCGAAAATGGACTTGGGCAACATCATTCCAATCTGTAAGGGCAGGCCATCAGTCGGCCTTCTCGCTGAGCCGATGGCGGAGGTATTCACCACGTAGTTCGGCATATCCACCTATGCGCGAGACATGGAAGGCCCGTCAGCTCAGTATATCGGAGTCGGAATTATGAATAGAACACCACGCACTACTTCGTGCATACGTAGGTCGCAGGCGACGCTGCAGAGCATGTACGCTTCGACGCGAGTCATCTTGAACTCGCCACACAAGAAATCAATCATGTTGCGCACGGCTGCTCTGGTGGCTTCGCGGATGTCTACGGATGCATGGAAGTGGAGCAGATCAGGCTTCTCGCCATGGTCACAGCGGAAGAACTCGTACGCACCAGCATCGATGCCCGTCGTGCAGTAGTACGTCTCCGGCGGCACAACGGTCGTCAAGAAGTGCGGCGTCGTGGGGTATCGATAGTCCTTGCGCACGGTGAGGCGAACGGTCACCTTCAGCAGCGTCTCGATGGCTGTGCCTGCGCAAGTGGCGTGAATGCTGAGCGGCGAGATCCGGAAGCGAATAGGGAGGGGCGTGGTGCGCTTAGTTGACTACTCACCACAGACCTCTGCAGAACAGTCACAGAAGCTCAGTAAGGGCGACGTGCAGCACGTCCTGCTTACCTCCATCACCTTGTGCAGCATGACCGTCCTAGAATAGATAGCCGTTGATGAATATGTACATTCTACGCGGATCGTCCCGACTGAAACGTATGCGATAATTATTGGCAAAGTACAGATACTGACTCCGATTGAAAACAGCGCCCCCTTCACCGCTACTGGAAGGTACAGCATCGAGCCGGCGGTTAGATGGCGTGTGTCGATGTTGCCACCGGTCTTGTATGGCGGGATGGTCGAGAAGGCACCCTTCTCTCCGGGGGCGACACCCATCTCTCCCGCGAAGGGTCTCAAAGGGACCTTGATCTTGCGGCTCTCGTCAAAGTATGCATATCCATAGATGTCTCCCTCCTCGTTCTTGTGCAGCTTCCATATTTTCAGATGTGGTTCTGGGAACTCGTTCGCAAGCAGTCCGAAGCCGGGGATGCACGCGGTCCAGCCCCAATCGGCCGTCTCGACACGGAGAACGTCAACCTGGAGAGTGTCACCGGGTTCAGCCGTCTCGACGTACACAGGGCCGTTGACCTGATCCAGCTGAGAAAACACGAGCGAAGCGATGCTGTGCGTGGTGGATGCCGGCGTGATTTGGCCGTTGGACGCGTCGAGGCAATCGAAAGTTATGGTATCTCCAGAGGAAACGCGCAACACGGGTGGGATGCTAGTGAACACTGAATTCATCAGCTGTACTTGATTGCGAACACGCTAGTGCGCGCGTGCCTATTGTCCCAAGCGAGGTGGCACTGCGAACGATTGATAGCGTGGATGGACATTAGGAGAACGGAGGGCCGTAAGGATAGGTTGCAGACCGTAGCAACCGCGCAGTGGCTGTAGATGGCGAGGCTGTGCACAACTTTTCCACCAGATAGCGGGTGGCCTTAACAGCACACGTGACATGCTGATCCTAACCCTAGCATCGTTGTTGGGGCGCAGAAATTGCCGCATTGTCGGCGATAGAATCCACGACGACGTCGACTGCGAGATGCTGCTGGTGCCGGACAGGAGATGTGAAGCGGCGTCAATGATAGTGGCACGTACGTGACACATAATCTGGGACGGGCCCATTACTAGCGGCCGAGGGAGCGAGCCATCAATGTATTAGCCTGCCGGCTGAATTGAAACTGCTGCATGGTGACCGAGAACGCGGAGAAATTCCTGCACTCTGCATGTCGCGGATGTTGTTGCAGATCAGCTCCCAGGGTCTTCCGTGTGAGGCTATGCATGGACACCAATAAGCAGAGAAGAATGGGGCATGGGACCACATACCACGTCTTGCATCTTTGATGCGAGGATATGAACAGCAAGTGGGTTATCACGTTGAGCTGAGACCGCCAGTCCGGGGGGCTCTGCAGTGATATTTGCCATGTCAGCAGGCGATCGCAGAGTCAATGCTTGGTAGCGTCGTCGACCGGTGATGCGCAGCTGCGAGTCGAGGGCATCTCGAGACAAAGAGTGACAGATATGCTTATGGTTGCTGTGCAGGATGATTGATGGCTGATAGCCAGGAACTGTGGCGTGCGCGGTCGCTGTCCTCGTTCGTGATCGGCCCGCCTACACATGTCGACAGATCTCCTTCTCGCCTGAATGTCCCTCATTGCCTTCTCCTCTCCTTTCTCCCCCTCCGTTTACCTCCTCCCCCGACGCCTCCATGTTCTCCGGCGACGCCGACGACCCCCTCTCCCGCGCCCTCCAGCCCCCGCCCGACGAGTCCCCTGACGACCGCGCCCTTCGTCTCCAGCAGCAGAAGGAGGCACAGGCCGTCTCCCACAAAATCGACGAGGATATCCAGGAGTCCAAGAAGGCGTTTGACAGGAGAAAGAAGGCCGTGAAGATCCTTCTCTTGGGTAAGCCCCGCTCGTCGCGGTGTGGCTGTGCTCCCACCCTCAACGCCTATCTCTTGTAGGACAGGCGGAATCAGGCAAGAGTACCACTTTGAAGAGTGCGTCGAGACGCGTCTAGCTTTCTCATGGCTGCTGCTAAGCATCGCCACCAGACTTCCAGCTAGCCTTCTCGCCAGCTCATTTCCGCAACGAGCGCGCGGCGTGGAAGACGATCATCCAGCTGAACCTCATAAGGTGCGACAACAACGTCAGTCGGCATTATTCTCTTCTACAGCCCGTTCTAGATCCATCAAACGCCTTGTGGAGGTTCTACAAGAAGAATGGGAGCAGTCCGTCGCATCCCTACGTCCAGACAAGGGCAAGGGCGTTGCAGGCCGCAGCCCTCCCGCGCCGACTGTCCGCTTCTCGACATCTCCTCTGACCGACAACCACCGGCGCATACGCATGCGATTGTCTCCTCTGCTTGCTGTCGAGGAGCAGCTGACAAAGAAGCTCCTGCCTGAGGCTAATGATAAGTTGCAGGACGTATGCGTGCGCGCCGGGAGCGGGTGGAAGGGCGTGATTGCTACGATCTCAGCGAATTACCCAGAGAAGCGGCCGGGTGCGCCTGACCCACGCGCAAAGGATGACCCGACGGCAATGCTGGCGGCGTTTAAGGAAGATATTGTGTCACTCTGGGAGGACCCGGTGGTGAAAGCAGTGCTCAAGAAGCACAATGTCCGGCTGCAGGACATGCCAGGCTTGTGCGTTGTTCGTTAATCTGTTGTATTGCTAGCATATACTCACTTATTCCAGCTTCCTAAATGATGCCGCGCGGATAGCAACCGTCACCTACGAACCAACTGACGGTATGCCCTCTTAATGCAGGTATCTCGTCATCACATCCTCAATTGCCCTTCACAGACGACATTGTACGTGCACGGCTGCGCACACTAGGCGTAGAAGAGCATCGGTTCACGATGGAAAGCGGTCAGTCAGACTCTTCCGCCGGATACGACTGATGTTCACCGCCCAGCAGGCGCACTGCCGGGCTCTGAGTGGTATATCTACGATGTCGGCGGGAGCCGCAGCAATGTGCGTCCATGCTCACCGCCTTCTGGCTGCGACGACGACATGACTTAAACTGCATAGCGACCAATGTGGATACCGTACTTTGACGACGTGCAAGCCATCATCTTCCTTGCACCGCTTGCGTTCAACTTAATGCTGGAAGAAGATACGAAGGTCAATCGCCTGGTAGGTCTGACTCATGTGCATACACTCGCTTATCTCATGTAACGCATCTTCGCCGCGCCCGCCTCTCGACCGCAGGAAGACTCCATCATGCTATGGAAGGAGATATGTGGTAACCCTCTCCTCGCGAAGACGACGCTGATTCTCTTCCTCAACAAGGTTCGTCGCTTCACTTCATGGGGTGATTATCCCCGCCCTGATTGATGCTGCTCGCCTTGGCGACCCGATGGCTGACGACACTTTTGCATGTCTTCCTGTGCAGATGGACATATTGCAGGCGACGCTCGCGGCGGGCATCCGCGTGAACAAGTACGTGCCGAGTTATGGCGACCAGCCAAACGATGTGCAGCACGTCACCAAGTGTACGTGCGTGGGTGCGCGGGGGTTGCGCGCTCCGATGTTGATCGTGCTATATTAGCGGAATGCTGACATGCTGCTGTGCTTTCCGTAGATTTCAGAGACAAATTCCGCGGTTACCATGTAAGTCCCGGGTCATGTAGCTCACCGGTGCATCATAGCCGCTCACATCACTGTTCGCTAGAAACGCCTCTCACCTCAAATGCGATCATTCTACTGGCATGAAACATCTGTCATTGTAGGTTGCCCCTCTTTCGGAATGTTTGCCTTTGCTGAAGCTGTGTCGGTCGCAGGACACACGATCTACGGCTGCCATACTCATTGGTGGTACGTATGTCGTTGCGTAACTGTGCTCCCTGCTGACTGGTGATTCTTCACAGTGCGTGAGGGAATCCTTCGCGCACACTTGCAGAGTGTGAACGTCATCTGAAGCCCTCCAATACGATACCCCTCACGCGCAATTGTATCACCGCTGCATCAATCTCTGTTCGCCCTCATTTCAGTACCGCCTTGGCTGCTGCCTTCCACCGATTGGACGCGACACGTGTAACAGTACTCTACCTGCTTACATATACCTAATGCCAGCCCTGTTCGATCAACCGCCGATATCTTACCGCAGGTGGCCTCCTGCGCTATAGCTATACCTGACTGCGGCCCAATCTGTCTCGCCACGCTCAACTTCGCCTAGAGCTCAAAATATGTATCCTACTTATGCATTATATTAATTCATCATGCTGGATACTTTCGTTCTCTATTTCAACCTACGTGCATTTGTTATCATTACGGACCACGCTTACTATGGACGGGTCGACATGTCTAATGGACAGAACTTTACGGTGCATGCGACATATCTCACGTAATTGTGCCTGTCAAAGTCGAAGGAGCGCGACGAGAATGTCTGAGATGATTGCGCTTGACTTGCGTTAGCATCCTTCACCGGAGGTTGGGAATGTCGATGACCAGCACACTTTCTCGCCACATCTGCACTCCGATATCCTACTAAAATGCTCGCGAAGTCGAGTGGCGACCTTCCGACGATATACTGCACGTTTCTTCGACAGCCACTCACATCACCAAACGAATACCCATGTTTCCAATCTGCCATAGCCTGTGATGACCGAGTGCTGAACACTGAACATTGATGATGTATCCCGCTCCGTCGGACTCGGACTCGGAGATCCCGGGGCACTGCCCCTGAAACCCGAGTGATCAGGTTTGGACTTGCAAGGTTTGACCGGCCAGCGGATCAATCAACGAGTGATGTTCTTCGGTGAACATTGCACGATCCTTCCAGACGTTGCACGCAGCTGATGGATGGACATTTTTGGGAAGTTGTCTTCCTTTGCCACACCGCAACATGGTTCCAGGTCGCTGCTCGGGCAACGGCAGCACCAAACCATACGTTTGACATCTGCATCTGGAAAACGGGTTCCTGAAGCCAGTTTGAACGGTTTTTTCCTTCTGAAGATGAACGACGGGGCTGTGTCTACGCAATTCGGCGAGCAGTTCGTAGTAACTTCTTACAATCAGTTCGTTTTAATAATAACACAATACGAAGGCGGTGGAGATAGATTGCGGGAACCGCTGGTAAACGACCTGTCGGGAATAGTCCGCACACCGTCAGAACGTGCAAAGATGCGCGCGATGCCAGAGACTAATAGATAGAGGATGTTATCAATCGTTGACAATGCTGGCAGGTCGGGAAGATGTGAGACAGGATGTCACACCTACAAGAATTTTTGCGATCGTACATACCGTAATTGCTAGCGACTCTAAAGTCACAACATGCGAGACATCGGAGATGGATTCGGCATACTGTCCTACTAATTGCTCGGTTCTTCTTCGTCGTTGTCGCTGTTCATGTTCCCAGGCTCTTCGTCGGCCTGAGGAAGATCCACGGTGCCAACAGCAGGAAACCAACCCCAGCGCCTCAGATCTACACGCAATTCACCTGTTCGGCCAACAGTGACCTCGACACCTTCAGCCTCAAGTGCTTGCCTCTGCCGCTCTGCGCCGTCAGTACCCGGTCCTCGCGACGATATCGTTCCAGAAGAGGCCAAAACGCGGTGCCAGGGCATAGGGGGTTGAACGTCAGGGGAGACGTATTTTAACGCTGCATGTCATAGCGACTCGTCAAGAGCTCGTAATATAGAATGCTGCCAGTGGATCACGTACCCTGTCCGACATGGCGAGAATAGTTAGGCATGCCGACTAGTTTGGCAATATGTCCTGGAGATGCGCAGAAAATAGATACTCGATATTCAGAGGATGGAACAAGGGAACGAGCGTACCGTAAGAAGTTACATGTTGAGGAGGAATCTGGCGGACAACATGGTAGACCTGCAGGCGATGTTGACATTGACCGCTTACGCCGGCATAGAAGAGTTATGTGCACTGCGGCTTAGTACCTACCGCTTCATGAAATTGGGCACTGTCCATCCGAGCGTCTTACCGCAAAGTGGTAACGCTGTCGGCGCAGCAACCGCTGTCGGCGCAAGTTGCTGCGTACAAGACTAGCGCTGAGGTGAACGTGATTATCACAGCGCCGCGGATAACGCGCACTTTATTACGCGAATAAAATGAAATCAGGAACGGTCGCGGTTTGCGCCATACAATTCTGATCCTCACTATCGTTCTATCTATTAGAGACAGAGTACAGTAAAGGACGATCGCTGGCAGTATACAATGCTCCTCTAGACACGAAAACATGGAAGGGACACCCACCGTGTCATTGACGGACGTTCACGTTCTCGATCTGTTGTGCGGAGTTCTTTTTTTCTTCCACACTCGACGACTCGTTCCGATGCCGCAAGGTCACCCCCTCTTCACGTGCAACTCCAGATGCGTCCGCTTGGTGTTCCGCCTTGACGCGTTTGACAATCGCCTCGGCCTTTGACACCATCGACCATTGGAACCTGCTAAGCACCCCACCATGCGTTTCAGAAGGGTCATCGTATCTGAACAAGTCATCGATGGATTCGAGCGTCTGGCCGGCCGTCTCCGGGTAGCATGACCAGACGATAGCAGCGTTGACGACATTAAACACTGCGAATATGATATATGTGCGCCATTTGATGTTTTGCAGCGCCGGCGGTGTGATCTCGACAACCTGTCAACTTAGAATGAACTCAGCGCGTCCTGCATATGGTGCCACTGGGACGGACCAGAAAATTTCCGAGGAAGTCGGCGGCTGCAGCGAGCGCTGCTCCCTTTGCGCGGATCTTCAAAGGAAGAATCTCTGCAGGATAGACCCATACGGTAGCCATCCAACCTAATCAGAAAAGATCGAACGTAAGACAAGTTTCGTCAGTTTCATTCCAACACGTAGAGGTTGGGCCGATTCACCCCACGTGAAACACGTCTCATACGCGAAGACGAAGAACACCGCCGCAATGCTTGACGCAGAATTGTTCACAGCGACGCAGATGGCTTCAGACACGAGCACGAGCACTTGCCCGATGGCCATGCTGATCCACAACTTCCTTCGGCCAACGGGGTCGATCGTATACCACTGTGAGTGTGAGCGGTGACCGTTGAGTCTGGAGCCCGGAAGAACTATCCGAATACTCACCGTTGCGAATGATGCGATAAGATACCAGACCTGCAACCAGCAGCCCACGAATAGCGACATCTCCTGAGACATGCCAAGGCTGTTTTCGAACAACGTCGGGGCATAGTATGTCACGATGTTGATACCTGGCAGCAAGCGTGAGAATTAGAGCAAACAATGAAAGAAAGACAGCTCACCAGTCAACTGCTGCATGAATTGAATACCGAGTGACAGATAGAAGCGTTTATCGCCTTTGACTCCGTTGTCCTTGAACAGATCTGCCCACGAACCCTCCTCTTTGCTCTCCAAGTCGAGCGCGGCCTGAATCTCTTCTGCCTCACGCACTACGATCTCATGGTCCGTAGGCAGGTTGCGGAGCTTCGCGAGCACAAGGATGCCCCGGTCTGGTGTGGGATCGTGGCGCATGAGCCACCGAGGCGACTCCGGCATGAACATGGTGACCAAGATCACGTAAAGCGCAAAGACGCATTGGAAGAGCAACGGGAAGCGCCATTGTGCCTGGCCATCGTGGAAGTAAAAACCGTAGTTGATCCAATACGCGAGCATCAGCCCACCAAGCATGCTGGTGAGCTGGCAGCAGACTTGCCACCCGCGATGCTCAGGCAGGGTGACCTCGCTCTGATACACGGGGGTGACTGTGTTCAGAAGCATCGTTATTAGCGAAATTTATCCGGTATCGATGATGGAGCTTGGTCACGGACCGGAGGTGATGTACCCAACGCCTGCATTGACAAGGAATTGAGTCAGACGTTCGATGAGCTTTGTGAGAGGCAGAATGGCGAGGGCGATGCTCACCGAAGCCGGCGACTATACGTGCGACCATCATCTGTATTCTCTCTACGCACGAGCCCATGAGAATGGCTCCGATTAGCACAATCGTCGCGCCTGTGATGAGGGTCCGTTTGCGACCAAGAGGCTCCGCGGTGAATGCAGCGACTATTGCACCGAAGAAGGCCCCGACATCGTACAGAGCAGTGATCGTGCTGACCATGATCGTGCTCGGATTACCCATCTGATCTAGCCAGTATTTGGAGACGACAACACCAGACATGACGCCCTGATCGTAGCCGAAAAGACAGAAGCCAGTCGAACAAACAGATGTTAGGACGGCGATGAGCGCACTGCCGACGAGACCGTTGACCCCGACTTTGGTGGCCAACATGTTTGATTCTTGAGAAAAGATTGACCCTCACGCAATTTGACCGGATAGGTGGTTGGGAGGAGGGGAGAGATGCGATGGGCACCTGACGCAGAGCTTGGAGAAGGGAGGCATTCTTATATGACAATGCACTTCACGGCATACGTGACCTGAAGCAGGTACCAAGGTGCTGGTCAGGTGGACGCGCAACGGGCATCCGAAGTGCTGAGTGTGAACAGATTCTGCGAACCGACAACGTTGAATGATATGGCTTTCTTAAGAAAGTGGGGCTTGGATGCGGTGGAGTTCCCCGTGGGGAAGACCGGGAAGTTCTGCAAGGATTAGAACTCTAGCGCAATCATGCGGACTGCACATCTCGTCGTCCCATGTTCTGAACCTATCGTGGAAAACATAGACCAGGTCTGCTTTCAAGGAATGTTATCACTCGCAGTCAATGTGATCTAATATGCGGAAGTAGATTGAGGTCGCCGATGACGAGAGTTTGTAGTCAATGTACAGTCGAGTTCAGCCGCAGAATTATAGCAGGCGGTAATGTCCGATTCCTGAGCGAGATGGCTGCAAGACATTCGACAACTGCAGTGCAAGTGGCGGATTGTGGCAAAGGACTGCCATCACCAGGACCACCGTCCTTTGGCGCCCATGCACCCGTTCCTCCAACCGCTTCGCAACTGGCGCATCTTTCACGCGCTGACCCGTTTTGCATCGCTCAACCATACGCGAAAACGTTTGCATCGCAAATCGACCATGTACCAACAACAGCCAGATAGCACGTACCCAAACCGCAAGATGTCGCAGGACATCACCGTGACTTTCCTTGGTACCACCAGCGGTGGCGGCCCATCCGAGACCCGCAACTGTTCTAGTCTCGTCCTAGATCCTCTCCCAGATGGTTCTCTATGGAGTACGTTCCCTCTCGTGGACATCCCTTGAGACGATTTTTTCATGTTCTTCCCCGAACGGCTCGTTCTGGCTCAGTGGTCGACTGCGCGGAAGGTACTGTCCGTCAGTTTGCCCAACAACCGTGGCGCGACTATCGCAAAGTGAAAATAATGAGAGTGAACAAGATCTTCGTAACTCATATGCATGGTATGTATTGTTACTCCGTCTTTTCAATATGCGTTGCGCTATCGCTGGTGCGGCTTCGTCGCAATCGATGGAAATCACCGCGTTCTGACAACCTGCAATGTGTTGAATACAGTGATCATACGATGCTGCATGGGTACATTCCATGCGATGCAAAACTGTCTCATTATGCCGATATCGCTGCTCAATATCGCGGTACATGACTGCATAGAGACGTACATCACCATCTTGCTCTTGAGGGTGTTCGCATGTAAGGACGGCCCAGCGTACATTGACCCCCAGGCATGCAACATCTTCAGGCTGCGCAAGGAGAAGTCCTTGACTTTTCTGCCGTTGCAATAGTGACTTTCTCCGTCCTCCGCGTGCTATCGTTTCGCCGAGGTCCGTCCGCCTTAAGGAGGTGGTTGAAGCTCCAAGGACGCATTTGTCGCGCGTTCCTAGCCTGATCTACCTCTCGCCGATCTCATCCAAAGCACAGCACGACGCGTTACCCCTGTTACAAATGTCTGAGCTGGGCTGACACCTCTCACACAGCGGATCACACAGCGGGCCTCATTACCATGCTTCGAAATGTCCTCGGTATTCCAAAGCCGTCTGCACCGCCGCCACCCATTACAGACCCGCCGAAAGTCGAGATCTTCGGTCCGCGCGGCCTCCGCCAATTCATCCGCGTGCAGATGATTCTCACGCACACTCACTCACCAACGCGTTACGTCGTTCACGAGCTGCTCGCTCCCGGCGAGAAATCGTCCGTGCCTTCGGGCGCGGAATCGTCGGCGAGCGCGGGTACAGGCAGCGATGATGACAGGTTGGCAGATAATGAGGCGCCCGGGCTCGATATCGCGTGTGATGCGCATGGATATTGGAGAGCGATCGTCGAAGAAGCGACGCCGGGAGGGCAGAGAAGTGCTGGGAGGATCGTCGTGGACGCCGGTCCGATAGAGCATCGAGGTACGTACGCAGTGGCGCAGCTTTTTACTGCTATTTTCCTGCGGTAATTAACAGGTATCTTCTGGCCTTTTCTCGAGCATATGGGCGGGTGGCTACCGTTACTTTATATGCGTTTAAAACTTGGCTTAGATTCTGAACAAACTGTTAGCAGTTCTGGGCACCATTTTGGAGCCATAATACGTTGGTCTCGCGTAATATGCCTTTGCGAAACTGGTCCCACGAGTCATATTATGCACTGGCTGAATACGTAGCTTCATATGCTTTCAGCGGCACTAAGATTGATGTCATCTTCTATTTGTTAACATTTTTTACTGTCGCCCGCAATCTAACAACCATTACAGACCCATGTATAGGTTACATCTTCCGCGAGGTACCCAACAACTCCTACGCCCTCGACACACCAACTCCCCGTAAAATCGTCATCCTCGGAGACACCTACGATCCATCGCGCATCATTCCGCTCATCGATCCGCCCATCGATATCAACGTAGCCGGAAGCGGCGGCGCCAATGCGGTCGAAATCAGCGAAGACGAGGATACACCCGCCGCTGCAGCAGTTCCCGTGACGCTGCTCATTCATGAAGCGACGGATGCGTATATACCACGGTCAATCGACCCAGAGCAGCGCACAGGGAGGAATCGGACGGAAGAAATCGTCAAGATGTATACCATAGAGCGCGGCCACAGCACTCCTGCGATGGCTGGTGCATTCGCGAAGAGGATCGGGGCGGAGCGCCTCGTCCTGAACCACATCGGGGCACGGTACGTTTCCAGCTCTTACTGCGCTTGTGTGGCCGTGCACTGACGTACTCCACTCGGCCGCTCTCCCTCGTGGACTCAGGTTTCCAGCGGCGCCGCAACCCGCACGCACCGGGCCAGACCACTTCCGCGTGGAGTGCATACGCGAGATCCAGCGCCAGGCGCAACGGACGTGGATGCCGACGAACGGAGAGCGCGTCAAGGCGGCATACGACTTTATGCGCGTCGTCCTGCCAGCGGCCTCGCCGACACCTGTAGAGACCTCCGGTGGCCAGCCGCTGCTGGAGCCGTGGACGACTGTGTCCGCACAACCCATGCAGTACCTTGCAGACCCCTTGCAGAGGAACAGCATGATCGCAGGTCCTATGAACGCATATGGGAACCAATACGAACATGCCTCGACCCGAGCGACCTACGAAGAGCACACTTGGTCACAAGACGGCGCGAGCTCACGTATGGAAAGCGTAAATGTCGAGACTCATCGAAATCGTGGACATCACGGTGGCAAGCATTATAGTCGAGACGTGCAGAACAGCAAGAGGGACTGGAACAGCGCGTCACGTCGTGACAGGGACGATGGAAATTCCGGACATGGGCAGTTTGAGGGGAGAGGGGACGGAAGCAGACATCATCACAGTGATCCGTACTCTCACAGGCGAAGAGAAAGACACGAAGAAGGCAGGGGGTCGTCAAAGCGGCCCCGACCCTGACTGTGTATGGTATGACGAGGTCAGGACAGCATGATATATACTGCTGAGCCGTGCGCATTTCCACCAAGAATGCCCTCAATGGCACAGCCTACGTCTAATGCGTCTCGGACCGAATTTACATGTATCATCCAGTCGTAGAAACAATAGACGGTGCCTACCGGATGTGAGCGGCATCGCTGTACGGAGTTTGATCAATGACACTGCGGTGTTAAAAAAAATCAATGACGGGATATTTAATGGCATGTGTAGTGAGAGATGAGTGAGATGGCGAAGGAAGTGAATCCCATCCACTGTCCCTAGCAGAAACTGGTACATCTTGATGTTATCACGAGTCTTCTACAATGAAATCAGAAATATACCTTTGTTATTGAGGGTGCCTTCTCAAATCATGGACCCTCAGATGTGAGCAGATGAGCTCACTGTGGATGCATGCTGCTCAACAGTGTGAGGATGGCATGTATGTGGAGCATGTCACTCAGCTCACTCTTCCCCAGTGGCATGGAGAAGATGAGCAATGTCAGTAGTTCAGTGAATCCATTACCATGTCGGACCATGAGTCCTTGATAACAACACACATCTGTGCATTCATACCTTAGCGCGTGCTATCGATTGTACTAGAGATGTCTGTGTTGAAGTGCACTGTTACCAAGGGATCTATGATCTGCTTTGGTAATGAATTCACTGAATGACTGACACTTCATGCTGCCAAGAAAACGTCAAAGAGAAAGCCGAGCAACATGCTCTAGATCCACATCCTCCGCATGCATCCCCAGTGAGCCCACCTGTTCACGTAGGAGGGTCTGAAACCTCACCTGCAGAAACCTCCGCAGCATCTCGAATAGAGATAACACAGTTGTTCGCGCTTTGACGAGGACACAGGGTCCAGCTCCTCGTGAGGCCATATTCGGGAGGATTCCGCCGGAGGATAAGAAAGGCAAATTTTTGACCGTTCTGCCACAGAAGACCGCGACAACATCAAGATACGCCAATTCCTGTTAGTGACGGTGAAAGGAGCACGTTCGCACAAGCATTCCCTACAGAACGATCACAAAGAGCATTACAACTCACCTCCTCCAGGATAACCACGCCCTGCAAAGCTGCGAACGCGCTGCCAAAAACTCCCCTGACGATTCTGGAAGACCCACGGTGAGTGCGCTGTTCTCTGAACCTTCCACTCTACGATAACAACCGCTGTCTGCGCAGGCAGAGATGAAGATGAAGGAGCGATTCATCGCCGCCATACCTTCCAAAGGATACTACGTGACAGGAGTGGACATGCGCAACGTGTCCCTTGTTCCTGAGCAAGTTGAACGCAAACCCCATCGCACGCAACGCAAAGGCCGCATGCACGAAAACGGTACACCGCCCCCCATCGCCCATCGCTCCAACCCACCATACCACGCACGCGGGCCATCCACGCCCATCTCCATCGCGAATCCGATTTCACTCAACCCGACGGCCCGCTCGGCACGGGTAGATCACTCCAAGCAGGGTTCCCTCGCTGCGCACGACGAACGGAGAGACGGCGGACGATCGTCAATATGAGGCTCAAATAGGATGGAGGTGTCTGCTTCCGGGTTTCAGGGCTTAGGTGGCGAGCGTACCTGTGGCCGCATGGCGAGGCACGAACGGAAGGCAGCCTGTGGCCTGCCTGCGCAGCACTGCGCGGACAATATCTCATCCCGGCGCGATCGTGCTCACTTCTGCTGCGACGACCGAGCTGACTGGACGTTGGACGTCAACGAGGGATCTCGTCCCACAGCTGCGACACACCCACGCGGTCGTAACGAGCGCCCCCTGCTCACACCAAAGCAAGGGACACGAGCGCGTCCATTCACGCAAGCAGAGCACACAAACTGCCCAAGCGCCAAGCGCAGCGACACGCGACGCGCTCCATACTCGCACAACGACCGCACGACGCCCGTATCCAAGTCGATCTCCACCAAAGCACCGCAGCCTTCGCTGCACCGCCAGGGTTCAGACCGGGCGCTTTGGGCGCAGGCATCCTCGCACGCGTCCCATCCGTTCAGTCAGTCTGAACTGAGACATGCACTGAGACAAGTGACGCTGACGCGGACGATGGACGCGCGCGGGGTAGGACGAGCGAAAGTTCGAATTCGAGGTTACGCGGGTGGAATCAGCAGCCAGCGTTCACTGCAACACATGTCACGAGCACACAAACCGACACACTCCAGCAGCCAAAATCAGCAAAGCACGAGCACACAAGGATAGCATTGCACAGGACGAACACACAGGCGCACACACACCGAACGCGTCAGCACACGACCGGCGTCGCAGGCGTTGGCACAGGCGCCTCGAGCGGGTGCACAGAGAGCGTGCGCGTCATGGGATGCAGCATGGCGCTCCGGGGGCGGCTGCGCATGAGCTCGCGGGTCTTTGCCCAGGCGCTTTTGGTCAAGCCAGTCTTGGTCGCCTCCGCCTTCGCGTCCTCATCCACGCCAATCCTGGGCGTGCGCAGCTCGTCCTCGTCCTCGTACAGATCGCCCTTGCTGACCGCCGTGCATCTGCCCACCGTCGCGGGCCTCATGACGGTGAGGTTCCTCGCCATGGAAGCGGG